TTGGTTAATCCGTCCCTGAAATGCCACCGTCCCATACCGGTGTATTAAACCATACAATTCATAAATAAATAGGTAGGACTTAACTATTCCGTTAATCCGTCCCTAAAATACCTCCATATTATTTTATTGGTGCATAAATCCATAAAACCCATACTTCAAAATTAGGGGAAGACTCAACGATTTACCAATACCTTCTAAATCGGTGTCTTACCATTTTCCTGATAAGACTCAATGATTTACCATTAGGACACACTAACGGACCGAATATAGAATACAATGAATCCTAAACTTAAGCTCTAAGTAAAAGAGTACACAACGCGGAAGTCACAAAACGAAAGACACCCTAGGGACACTTGAACCTGGAGTGCTCTGATACCAACTGTAATACCCCCTAATTTTGGAACACGGATTGATCAAGTCCGCGCACAAAATCAAGGGATATCAAAACAATTTAAGTATTTAACAAGCACAGAATACAAAGATGAATAATAAAGAATAAATAAACCGCTGAAGAAAACTAATAAATAAATATTACTTAATGATTCTCCAACAATTACAATTCGGAAATCCCATAACTCAAGGACCCCTTAAAACATTATCCAATAATCCAATACTATTTAAAAGTACACAAGATGAATAGACGAATGACAGTCTCCCAGCTGCGGATCCTCAACCTCGAGACTGAAACCTCTAATAACCTGAAAAATAAATCGTGGGTTAAACCCTACGAGCAAGTTCACTCTACCAGGCCTCTGAAAACCAATAAGCAGATCATCTCTGATCAAAACCAAACCTAATAAAGTTTTAACTTTAATAAAGCACGATATACATGTCTATATATAATTATATATACTATACTAATCACATCCATTAATAGGTTTATTAAATTTCCATACCTATTAAATAATTATTAAAAAAATATTCATACCTAGACCAATCTACCATTTCATTTTATAAAAACTCCTTTGACCTTAATCCCATCCTAGTCAGTTGTCTAATCATTTAAACAACAAATTATAATAAAAGAAATACTCTATTTAATCCCAACCCGATAATGATTTAAATTGTTTAAATCACATATCCAAAATCCAAGTTTTGACAAATCATCCACGCCTTCCCCAATATTATTTTATTAATGTAAAATAATACACTAACCAGTAAGTACTAAACTATTCTCATTTAAGAATATCTAACCCTAATCCAATCCATACATACAATAACCATAGATAATATTTTAATCATCTAACACATAACAACGTAATTATGCTTTGGCAAATCAACCATGCCATTGTAAATATTTTTATTTATATATTGGCAATTCAACCATGCCTCCATAAGTATATTTATTTATACATTGGCAATTCAACCATGCCTCCGTGTATGTATATTTATACATTGGCAATTCAACCATGCCTCCACAGGTATATTTATTCATACATTTAATTAGCAATTCATCCATACTTTCCATATATGTATTCTATTCATACAAATATTTAGGTAATATATTTAATCATTTGACAATTCATCCATGCCCACACTTTAACCATGAATTAACTTTAAAATTAACAATACGCTAAATCATACATAGCCATCACATGCATATTATACGCATATCATTAATTTAACAACCAGCCTATTAAGATATGCCAAATAAGAATGATAATATTAATCATCTTAAATGATTTATATATATATATACCTACACATATGTTATTTAATGTATATATGTGTTTAACACCTTCTTTAATAATCCTTGATTATTTAAAATCAATATACATACATACATACATATATATATATATATATATATATATATTCATCCTTCCATACAATTCATAGACAAATTAAACTATATATACCCATATATAAATAATTATATACTTCCTTCCATAACAAATTATTAATTTATTATATTTACCCAAATTAGTGCAACTAAATATGTCAGAAATAGTTTCCTTTAAATACTCCATATTGGTTTAAATAGTTTTCCGACACTTTCTCACTAAAACATAAATATCTCCTAGTAGGATGGGAATCTGATAATGAAATTGGTACCATTGGAAAGAAGACGAAAAATCCTTGAATTTGAGCTCAAGAATGACCCAATTTCGATTTAAAATGACTAAGTTATGACCGTTTTAATTTCTAGTGTCGAATTAGGCCAACATAGTTTCCCACGCGCGCCCACGTGCTTACTATGCACTTGCACGCGCTAGATTCAAGCCTCCTTGTGTGCTGGTATTGGCTAAGCTCTTTCAGCTACCGTGAGCTCACCACACTGAATCCATCACTTCCTTTATGCCGCATCCAATGGTCATAAATGAGTGCGCAAATGAACACGCTCACACTAGATTATTTTCTATTAACTATAATAGATCTAAGGTCCAGATCAGCGAGTGCACCATCTTCTCATGGTCTGCAATACACCAAATAATCCCATAGTTGACCAGACCACTTCTATGGTCCAGATACACATGCGCACCAAAGTTTTATGCGCCGCGATGCACCATATCAATTCACATAAGTTTAATTAATCAAATGGCCCTAATTGGCATATACACCCTATTATCCTACACCGCGCCGCACTGGATCAATTCTTTATTGTGCCGCCGCTCCACATGCGCCAGTTACCTAGTATATATATATATATATATATATATAAAATTATTTTCCTAACAAATAATAGGAAAATAAATCCTAATAAATTCCTAAAAATATCAGAAAAATTCCAGAAAATTACAGAACAATTCTAGAAAATAAAGAAATCATAATTAACTCTCTTGGGTCACAAATCCACCTATAGATTGATTTTAAAATATACATAACACCTATATATATCAATTAAAATCCAATAATCTAAAAATCAAATATAATAGTTTATACTTTTTAATTATTCCGATCTAACCATAATTTTTAAACAAATAAATTTAATTAAAGCCTTGATACTCAAGGTGAAATCCTTATGAGTTCTAAGAGGAAAGTTAGAGAAAACTCGCCTGAAGGTTTCGAAACGAAACCGACGCTTTAAGCTTTAATTATCTCTTCCAATTCCGACGTCCTCCTTTTCAGATCCGACCTCCTCCTTGTCAGCCCTTCTTCTTCCTCTCTCTCTGTCTGTTTTATTTTTCTAACGTGTAAAACCTTTAACCCTAAAGCCTTATGTGTATTTTTATACACCTTAAATTCCAAATCCTATTCCAACTAGTATTATGAATTAAAATAATAATCTTTAAATAATTTATATCTATAAACATATATATATATAAATATATATTCCTTCCATAATTAACTCATTAGTTAATTAAATCATATATACTTATAAATATCAATAAATATATATCTATATATATATATCTTTCCATAACAATTATTAATTAATTATATTTATATATAATTATATATATATATATATATATATATATATAATTGATACAAAAGTGATCATTTAAATAATTAAATAACCACGGACCTTCATTAATTAACGCAATAAGGTTTCATACAAGCCCAAGACCACATCTTTTGGTCCAACTTTCCTTAAGCCCAATCCAATTAATTTAAATAAATAAGATAATTAATTAAATACAGAAATTAAAATAACTAATTACATGAAGCACATAAACAAACAAAAATTTACAACTAAGTCATATAATACTAATAAAATCAACACACCAATAATTCAATCAATAATCAACCACACAAACAATCAATCATCATACATAATCACGAAATATAACTTAATTAAAATAAGATAATTAATCTAGCACTCAATAAAATAAAATAAATCATTGAAAAATAAAATAAAATAATTAATCCTAATTAATAAATCTTTTAAAATTATCGGGGTATTACAATTACCTTTGAAAGCCATTGATAAAGAACAAAATTAAAATAGAATTGTGAGGCTCACCACGATCAAAGTAAGTCAGTTTAGGTCTTTCTAAGGTCAATTTACCTGTTCCCTAGATATATGATTGAATATGTGGATTTATCGTCGTGTTCTTTGCAAAACTGTGTATGCCTTGTCTTTTATGGTTGTACTCGAACAACTCAAGACACTTTGACACATTATAGCATAAGTTTTGAAAACGAAATTGCCAGCACATGACTCATATTCCTAATTTAGTCGGCAGAGGAGGTCCTTCAATGAATCATGTTATCATTGAAGGACCTCCTCTGCCGCCATTTAGTCGTAGGGTGGATGTCAATGAAGTGGTAAAAAAGACGTGGCTTCTTGATAGGTTAGATCTTATTCTCCACTGACTATTACCCATCTTTGATGGACGATGGGAAAGCTCATTTCACCTGACTTATTGTTGACATATATGGTTCCTTCTAAAGTGACATTTTTTTTCATGCATTCAATGGCCTAATAAGATCATGTTGTTGCCTATTTAATCATATGTCAAGAGAAGATGACGGGTCACTTACTATTTCATCATCCACCCTCTTCTCTCATTTGGAGGTGTTTCTTTAACCTATTTTATGTATAGCAGGTGATGCTTAGCTATGTGAGAAGCTTTGTCGATGAGTGGGTGTACCGAGATGGAGGTTTATGGATAAAGTTACTTAGAAAGCATATTTGCTTAAAATTTATGGGCAATGTGGAAAGAGAACATAGGGATACTTAAGGAAGAATTTGTGGTGGATGTGGTCATGATGTCAGTATGGCCTCTTTTTGGGCTTTATTTGTGTAAATTCTATGAATTTCAGCCCTGTACTTAGAATTGGCATGTTTGAGGTTTTATCTTTTGAATTGACAAAAAATTCAAGCACAGTGATATAGGGTGGTTTCTTTCTTTATTTTGTGTGACCGAGTTAAGCTGAGAGAGACTCTAGATTCTGCTTATGATTTTCTTTGATGTGTGTGGTTCACAAATTTTGCATGCTATTATCTTTAACTTTCTCTGAATTGTTTGCTGTTAGTTATGATCTATCATCCACTGAATGTGCTCATTATCTTTTATATGACCGAACTGTTTTCTCTAAACCTTTTTTTTAAGGTTCATATACTGAAGGATAATCTGGATATTTCAAATGTAAACTTTGTTAATTTGAGAGCTGCAACATCTGCTGCTCTCCCTCTTTGGCCATCCAAATTCAATGAGGTTTGCTTCCTGTCACTTAAATTATTTAATACTACAACTTATTAATTTATTTGTAAAATAATTTGATGCTCTTCCAGGAAGATCTCTTTGCCAAAATATGTAGCTTGTCATATATGGGTGATCTACGTATGCTTTTTGCAGAAGATAAAAATAAGGTAAGGTTGATTACAACTTAATTAGATCTTAGGCGAAGAATATGACTTGTAGTTGTAGCTTTTGATAGTGTTAGTGTGCTTTGGGCTTTCTGATATTATACATATAATTAGTGGCTATCATGATAAATAGATAAATTGAAATGATAAAGGATGCGTAAGATGGAGTTACAATTATAGTTAGAACAACTGCAAGAGAAACAAACGAATTTTCAATTATCGTAAACGTGTATCAATGATTGATGTTAAGCCTCTATCTTTTTTACTTGACTATACATGAATTAACAAAAAAACGTAAAGGATGAAGTTCATGGTCTAGGCTACTTATTGATGAAGTTTTTCGGATTAATAAAATTAAAGAAGGGACAATGTTAAATTAATTGTTCAGAGTGACGGTGTAGAATCAAAAGAGTTTAAGATAAGTAGGACTAAACTGAATGTATTAATGTTACTTTAGTAAAGTGAATGCGAGTAAGAAAATAGTGAAAAAAAGAGTGGGGAGATACTAAAACTAGAACCGTTTTGTCATCTAGTCTTGATTATTGAAGAGAGGGAGAGATTGGAGATAGTTTTGCTTATAAAACCAAAGCATGATAGGTTAAATGCATAGTGCTCCTCACAGATTGTATGATCAACATATTACTTTAGACTAAAAGACAAATTCCATGAAACAGCGTTTTGACCTATTATACTTTATGACATGCCAAATGAGTAGAGAAAAACAATATAGTTAATTTACAATTATGAAAGAGATAAACAACATTGTGGCAATTATCATACAATGAAACTATGAGAATGGATAATAAAACAAAGATTAAGGTTTCCACGGTGCTTGTACCTGACAGACGTACCCGAGTTCAGTTAACGTAGTTCATAAACCAATAATGGAAAGTCTAATATTGCCAAGATATGGCTTCTGAATTATATTAGGAATAATGTAATTATTATAATAGAATGTTCTGAAATCTAGATATTTCCTGGATGCGGTTACATGTTCTTTTACATAACTGTTCATTTTTATCTTTGTTGTTTTGGAGATATTATTAGTGCCTAACATCCGTATGGCACTTCCTTGACCTTGGAGGTGAAATCGGCATGATCTATTCTTCTGTTCTCTGGTATTTTCCATTGACATCTTTATTACCTGTCAGGTAAATAATATTGTGCAAGGGCAGTTTGGTTTATTCCAAACAATGTATAAGCCATATCTAGAAGAACATGCAACCAATGACTTGTTGAGATTTTCATCATCTGGTGGTCACCAAGTAAATATATCTCAGGTCCATTCAAATCCTTGAGTTCTCAATTCCCAGAACAGATTTAATCTTGTATCTTTTCTTTTTCTATTGTTATGAAAGGGTCCAATATTTCCTTATCAATTATTCAAACATTCACTTTTATTTGGGGACTATGGTGAGGCCACGCATATATTTGTAATTTCAGTGTTGAAACATGATACTCTACCTACCTTTATCTAGTAAAATCATTTAAAAGCAGTGTAGCTGGCATGAAAAGTTCATTATTGCACTGTTGTCTTGATATGTTCCTATCGATCAACACCAGGATTCTAGTTTATCTACAGTTTCCTCCCTTGTTTTTATTCTTCCAGCGACGGTCAGAAGCCAAATGAGGATGAGAGTAGGAGAAGAGAAAAAAGTTGGTAAATCTGGTATGAACAACAACTCTGATGGTGTAGATTGATAGGAAAATGAAACCCAAATATTCCCTGAATTAAGAGTTCTAGCCTCCCATATGCTTCAAATCATATTTGTGGGGAAAAAGAAAAAAAAAAAAAATTGCTTAAATTCATATGCAGATTTCCAAATGGGTATCTGATGCAACAATTTTGTTTGGATTTCATTAACATCACATTGTCTTTGCAGGTCAAGTTATACACGAAGTTGTGATTAATTCAAGGGAAGTGGTTACCAAATGCATGCGGAAAGTTGTGAGGCATAGGGTTATGATTTCAAGTGCAAGGTAGGCTGTTTCTGGAATACTGACTATTTGTGCTGTTCATGGAGTTAGATATCTTGCAAATAAGATGCATAAGGCTTGGAAATCATGGACATGAACTTGAAATACTGACTGTTGGTGCTGTTCAAGTGCAAGGCATGCTGTCTCTCCTATTTTGGGTTTTTTCCTCCTTCCAAGTGGGTTAATTTCTTGTGGACTAAAACCTTGACAAGAGAAGTACAACATCAGCTTGATCTAAAACTAAGGCTAAATGGGCTTTGTCTAGAAGTGCACTGTATTTTTGGCAAACTTTTGAGAGGAAATGAATGATTCCTATAGGAGTTTTGTATCTTTAATATAAGGATCATTTTTTTTTATTTGTATCTTTAATATATGAATCGTTTTTTTTCTTTTGGGGGTAAAAAGAATCAATTTTTTTTTCTTTAATTTTGTAAATTATATAAGTTTTTTTTTTTTTTTTTTTTTTTTTTTTTTTTTTTTTTTTTTTAAACCTGGCAATTTATTGAGAAAATACTAACATATTTGGGTTATAATGATTTTTTTAATACTGAGAGTGCTTATCTTCTTAGTATCTTAGTCTGAATATTTATTTGGCAAAAAAATATAAAACCCCCCTCAACTATCAAAAATCAGTATTTTACCCATAGACTACAAAATTGAGCAAGTCAGGGCTACAACGGTCATATTGTAGGGTAATTATGGAATTATTAACTAACGCGCTCCATTTGTTAGCCAGAAATGACTGCCAAGGGCAAATTGCACATTTCTGATAGTTGTGGTACTGACTTGTTCGATTTTGTAATGCAAGGTAGTATAGAATATTGTATAAGTAAGGACTATCATTTCAAAAATTAGAATCACCTCTTGACACATCATTTGTACAAATATTCTTCAAAATCAAACTTAATTTTGAACTCAAATTTTAGCAATGCTTCAAAGTCGGGTAAATTTTTTTTTCCCTGTAATTGTCCTCTAAAAGTCCGACACGTATTAATAGATATTGGATACGCTTCTATACTCTTATCCATTGCCCAATCAGTTTATCATCCCGTCCGAAGACATTGTATGCTATTATATTTATGAGAAAAGCTTCAATTGCAACTAACTGTAATAACTACCAGTGTCCCAGGGCCGGCCCTGGCCCAAGGCGACCAAGGCGGTCGCCTTGGGCCTCAGATTTTAGACGGCCTCAAATTTTGAGTTTGAGGCCCATAGGGGATGGGAAGAACAAAAAAAAGTTAGGGCAAGTTTCAGACAACACAATCTGCTTCGAAGTCGAAAGAAGCATATGACGATTCTACATGACGTTAGTGGAACGATCAAGCCTTGCAGGTGAGTCTGTGCTCTGGCCGGCCCTGGCCCAAGGCGACCAAAGCGGTCGCCTTGGGCCTCAGATTTTAGACGGCCTCAAATTTTATGGCCCATAGGGGATGCAAAAAATAAAAAATAAAAATAAGTTTGGGCAAGTTTCAGACGATACAATCTGCTTCGACACTCCGCAGCCTTCGCTATCGCCTCAGGTGACAAGGTATGTTCATCCTCCCTCTCTCTTCTCTCTCCTTTTGCATGAATCGATCTTTTATATATGTTTCTTTCTTTCGTTCATCTCATCATTTGATTTTTCTAACGTTGGTTTGTTTGATTCGGGCCTTTACCTTTGTTCCAATAGTGAAAAGTAGCTAGGGTTTTGTGTGTGTCACTGTGTGTGATGGCTATCAAAGGCTGAATGAATGTATTATGGTTCTCTTAGTATTTTAATAAATGTGAGCCTTTCTACATGCGTCTTTCTTGGCGATCGAGTCCATAATCTATGGCAGGTACTTTTTTTTTTTTTTTTTCCTCTCCCTAAGTCCACTCCAATCTCACAACAGCAGCAACCATACCCCTTTTCCTCATAATTTTTTGCATTTTCACATTCAATCCCACGAAAATTAAGGATCCCTTCTAGTGGGTTGAGGTAATAATTAACTTTTTCGATCTCTAAATTATGCTCATGCTTAAAAGTGCAAAATTAAGGGTTTTTATTTTATTTTATTTTATTTTTTTATTTTTATTTTTATATGAAGATACATACCACCATTATTGATGTTATTTGAAGTTGGCTCAGCTAGAATTTCAGTTAATAATACTGTCAAAGCACTTGCCATCAGAATGTACAAACACATGGAAATCAAGAGTAGGCTTTAACAAAACAAAAGTTAATGGTTTTTTCTATTAATTTGCACAGGTCTTCTGTAGCAATGATCAATCAATCACTGCGGGTAATTGGCTCCCAAAACACACACAAAGTGTAGTGTAGTTAATATAAAGAGTGAAAGACAAAACTATATATGATAGTGGATGCCACATATAACCTAAAAGTTCCACTACTTCTTCAGTACTACAAGTTCAGCCTCCTATATATATATATATATATAGTCACCTCATCTCCACATATTTTTGTCATCTGTTATCATCAAATTTTAGTAGCTATATAAACAATGAATGTAATAGAAGCTACAATTTTTTGTTCTCTTCATTTTTTATTTTGTGCCTGTGAAAATTTTGCACTCTTTAATTGATAAATTTATTGTTATTAGTTAGTTGTCTTATGCACATTGCACATGCACACAATTATTTATTGGTGGTGATAAAAATTTATAGTTATTAGTTAGTTGTCTTGAACACACTGCACAGACGCATAATTATTTATTGGTGGTGATAGATTTATACTTATTAGTTAGTTGTCTTATGCACACTGTACAAGTGCACAATTATTTGTTGGTGGTGATAAATTTATAGTTATTGGTTAGTTGTTTTATGCACAATGCATAGGGGCACAATTGTATTAACTATAGAATTTGAAAACACCGTGTTAAAATTTCGCACTCTTATAATTCTTTTTTGCGCGTGTGAAACTCAGGTGCCTCACATTTGAAAGTTCGCCTAGGGCCTCTCAAAATATTTGGAATCTCAGGGCCGGCCCTGCAATGTCCTCCTTGACACAGCCTCTCTCCCCTCTCTCTTTATCCATGCAACCTTCACATTCCTTCTCTTCCCTCCAAACCCAGCAACCGACTTCTCGAAAACACACTCCTCAACCCACCACCACCACTTCCATCTCCGCCAAAACCTCTCCAAAACCCAGATCGGAATGGATCAAAGCCCTTCGTTCCCACACCCGATTGAATCAATTCCGAGAAGCTGTTTCCACGTATAACGAAATGATCATGGCCGGTGTCCAACCCGACAATTTTGCTTTTCCGGCAGTATTAAAGGCTGTCACTGGCCTTCAGGACTTGAATTATGGCAAGCAGATCCACGCCGCCATTGCCAAACTTGATTACTGTTCGTCTTCGGTGACTGTGGGCAATACTCTTCTCCATATGTATGCAAAATGTGGAGATATTGGTGATGTGCTTAAAGTGTTTGATAGAATTCCTCAGAAAGACCAAGTGTCTTGGAATTCGATGAATCTGCTTTGTGTCGGTTTGAGGAGTGGGAGCTTGCATTGGATGCATTTCGGTTAATGCAATTGGAGGGAATGGAGCCCAGTTCGTTTACTTTGGTGAGTATGGCACTTGCGTGTTCTAATTTGAGTGAGAATGATGGGTTGCGGCTCGGGAAGCAAGTGCATGGGTATAGTTTGAGAGTAGGTGATTGGAAAACATTTACGAACAATGCGTTAATGGCTATGTATGCCAAACAAGGGAAATTTGATTACTGGAAAGCTGTTTTTGAGTTGTTTGAGCATCGGGATATGGTTTCCTGGAACACAATGATAAGCTCATTCTCTCAAAACAACTGCTTTTATGAGGCATTGAATTTGTTGCAGCTTATGGTTCTTGAAGGAATTAGGCCTGATGGGGTCACAATGGCGAGTGTTCTCCCTGCATGCTCCAATTTGGAGTTGTTAGATGTTGGGAAGGAAATTCATGCTTATGCCTTGAGAAATGATGATTTGATTGCGAATTCGTTTGTCGGTAGTGCGTTAGTCGACATGTACTGCAATTGCCGACAGGTTGAAAGTGGCCATAAAGTTTTTGATGGTATCTTAGATAGAAAACTTGGGCTTTGGAATGCTATGATTGCTGCTTACACACAACAATGGCAAGTGTCTTACCAGCTTGTGTGCACTGTGAAGCATTCTTTGACAAAGAAGTTATGCATGGGTATGTAATGAAGTTGGGTTTCGGAAGGAACCCGTACGTACAAAATGCACTTATAGACCTGTATTCTAGGATGGGAAAGATAGAAACTTCAGAAAATATATTTAATAGCATGAAGATTAGAGATATAGTTTCTTGGAATTCAATGATAACAGGTTATGTTATCTGTGGACGCCATGAAGATGCACTTATTTTGTTGCATGCGATGCAAAGAGGTGAAGAAGCAAAGAATGAGGAGAAGGATGAGTATGAGGATGAAAAAGGTGTTCCTTGTAAACCAAATTCAGTAACACTCATGGTAATTCTTCCTGGCTGTGCCACCCTTGCAGCATTAGCTAAGGGGAAAGAAATTCATGCTTACGCCATTAGAAATGCTTTGGCATTAGATGTTGCTGTGGGCAGTGCACTGGTTGACATGTATGCAAAATGTGGTTGCTTGAACTTATCTAGGAGAATTTTTGATGGAATGCCCAACAGAAATGTGATCACATGGAACGTGATCATCATGGCTTACGGGATGCATGGGAAAGGAGAAGAAGCCTTAGAACTTTTTAGGAGTATGGTGGCAGAAGGAGCTAGGGGTGGGGAAGCCAGGCCTAATGAGGTTACATTTATTGCAATTTTCGCTGGATGTAGTCACTTTGGGATGGTAAAAGAAGGCCGTAACTTGTTTCATAAAATGAAAGATGACTATGGAGTTGAGCCTACAGCAGATCACTATGCTTGCGTTGTTGACTTGCTTGGTTGAGCAGGTCAGCTGGACGAAGCTTATCAACTCATTAAGTCGATGCCTCCTGATGTTGACAAAATAAGCCTTGGAGTAGCATGCTTGGTGCTTGTCGAATCCATCAAAATGTAGAACTTGGGGAAATTGTAGCGAAGAATCTCCTTGAATTGGAGCCAAATGTGGCTAGCCATTATGTTCTACTCTCTAATATCTACTCATTTGCCGGACTCTGGGAGAAAGCAACAGAGATTCGAAAGAACATGAAGGAAATGGGAGTGCGAAAAGAACCCGGGTGCAGTTGGATTGAGTTTGGCGATGAGGTTCATAAGTTCATGGCTGGGGATGCATCACATCCACAAACCAAGCAGCTTTATAGCTTCGTCGAAACGTTGTCAGAGGGAATGAGAAAAGAGGGTTATGTTCCTAACACTTCTTGTGTTCTACACAATGTTGGTGAGGTGGAAAAGGAGAATCTACTATGCGGGCATAGTGAGAAACTAGCAATAGCATTTGGTATCCTCAACACGCCTCCCGGCACCACCATTAGAGTTGCCAAGAACCTTAGAGTCTGCAATGATTGCCATGCTGCTACCAAGTTTATTTCAAAGATTGTGGAGAGGGAGATAATTATGAGGGATGTGAGGAGGTTCCATCATTTCAAGGATGGAACCTGCTCCTGTGGGGATTATTGGTGAGGACGCGTCCAAACCAATGTTTTTCAACATTAAGGGAAAAGTTTTCAGGAGATTCAAATACCAGC